TGCCTGTTGGCTTGAAAATATGGAACAAACTAGCGGCGTTCTTTGACGGCGTTTGAGAGTTTTGAATAACGGCGTGGTTTAACTGACGGAGGGGGACTAGAAAATGAACTTTTCAGGCTTACTCCCCAATCTATTGTATGAGTTGTATGTTGGTATAAAACTTAAAAGGAAGCAAGTGGGATTTTCGGTTTTCATTAGTCTCAGTGGATATTTTTCGTTAATTTTTCTATCAAAATGTGCATGTTTGGATTTTCTTGACTTATAATTTAAAGCAGTTTTGAAAGTAGTTTATAATCGATTTTTGTTATAAATATATAAAAATAAGCAGTACTTGTAAATCATATAAAATGTGTAGTTATAAGCAAATAAACATGCGGTCAAACTTTAATTTTAATTCCAAGTTTTCTATGATTTGCAACTAGTGCACAGTTATTCACCACTCATTTTTATCAATTTATATTTTAAGCAACTCAAATCATCCCAATCAAACTTGTAATATACTATTGTGAGAATTATTTAATGGTGTGTTTGATGAATATTATTGAAGAAAAAATGTATTTTAAATAGTGATATAATAAGAAATATGTTGTTAAAAAGTTTTAAAAAAAAAAAAAGTTATTGATGTGATGAAAAGTATTATTTTATTAAAGAATGTATGGTTGAAAATGAATTTTAAAAGAATGTGTACCAAACAGGGGCTGAGAATTACTTCTCTATCACACTCATTTTCAAACACACAGTTTTCAGAAAAATATTATTTTTCACGTTTTCCTAAACTGCTCACTTTTTAATCCCACATTCACAAAAAGAAAATCACGTCTAGAAAAATCTCGTCAAACAAACACTTAAGTTTATTAGTCCAAGAGACTAATCATTTTACTTAAGTCTAATCTAAAATAAATTTGCATTATTGCACACATTATGGTAGATTTTTTTAGCCTTGATTTGGTTTAACTGAAAATCAAAATTTTATCAATTTTTTTAGGTGAACCAAACAGTCGAGTTTGGAATTATTTGGTTCTTAGACAAATTCCTTAATATTTGGTAAGTTTCACCGGGCTTGAAAGAGAAACGGGTGATGATTATGTCATTTATCACGTCTAATATGATACATCAAACGTCTCGCTAAAGTTCTAAAAACCAAATTTTTAGTTTATTTTTGGTGATAAAGATAAGTATGTGCTTTTTACAGCTAATGCCAATTTTGCACTCTAACCAAAAGGTGTTGGATTACCACAAAGATGTTTATGTCACAACTAGAGAAGGCAAAAAAGCT